GCAACGGCGCTGCCCACGCCAGGCTCCTCTCCCATCCCGCCCAGCCAGGATCCCTGGTACAGCGCGCCCGAGGGCTTCGAGGAGGCAGATCCCGGTGCCATCCTGCGCGTGCGGCCCGCGCCCGGCAATTTGACCGTGGTAGTGGGCAATGCCTCGGCGGCCTACAACATCCTCTACCGCACTACAGACAGTCAATACAAGCCTTCGTGGGCTGTGACTACCCTGCTGGTGCCCACCGAGGCCGCCTCCGCCGCCATCAACCAAAGCGTTCTGCTCTCCTACCAGATCGCGTACGATTCGTTCGACGTCAACGCCAGTCCCAGCTACGCCATGTACTCTAGCCCGCCCTCTGATATTATCCTCGCCCTGCAGCAGGGCTGGTTCGTCAACGTTCCCGATTACGAGGGGCCCAATGCCTCTTTCACTGCCGGTGTGCAGTCCGGCCATGCCACCCTCGACTCGGTCCGCAGCGTGCTCGCCTCCGGATTCGGCCTAAACGAGGATGCTAAGTACGCTCTTTGGGGATACTCTGGCGGTGCCTTGGCCAGCGAATGGGCTGCCGAACTGCAGATGCAATACGCTCCGGAGTTGAACATTGCCGGTCTGGCCGTGGGTGGACTCACTCCCAACGTTACCAGCGTCATGAACACGGTGACCTCGACCATCAGCGCAGGACTCATCCCCGCCGCCGCGCTGGGTCTGTCAAGCCAGCACCCTGAAACATACGAGTTCATCCTCAGCCAGCTGAAGACGACGGGACCCTACAACCGCACGGGATTCCTGGCCGCTAAGGACCTGACCTTGTCCGAGGCGGAGGTCTTCTACGCCTTCCAGAACATCTTCGATTACTTCGTCAACGGATCGGCCACGTTCCAGGCGCAAGTGGTGCAGAAGGCACTCAACCAGGACGGATACATGGGCTACCATGGGTTCCCGCAGATGCCGGTGCTCGCGTACAAGGCCATTCACGACGAGATCAGTCCCATCCAGGACACGGATCGCGTGATCAAGCGGTACTGTGGACTGGGCTTGAACATTTTGTATGAGCGGAACACCATCGGTGGACACTCGGCCGAGCAGGTGAATGGCAACGCCCGGGCGTGGAACTGGTTGACGAGCATTTTCGAGGGAACGTATGCGCAGCAGTACAAGACCGAGGGGTGCACGATCCGCAATGTCACCCTGAACACGACTTCCTCTGTTTATTAAAGAGGGGTTAGGACCATGTGAATAATGTTGATAATGGCTGTGTATGGACAGCCGGCTCTATTGTACAGTAATGGGCTAATAAATGTGGCTTCATGAACTTGGTACGAATGATTATGTTATGTACATAGTGTGGATGTGGTAATGATGAGAGAAAATTTGTCTATGGTCTATGTTCCAGCTATGCTATACAATATACCATTCAAGGATTAACTACTGACACATCTGCTTAGAAGAGACCAGAGTCGGCCTTGATCAGATCGGAGGCCCGCTCGGCCACCGCGTACAAGGTACTGACCAGGTGGCCGCACACCTGGAAGGGAAGGACGGATGCATCCACCACGCGGACATTGCTGGTGCCGTACACCGTCAAGCGGTCGTTGACCACGCCGCCCTTGTCCTTGGGCATCATGGCGGCAGTGCCGACCGGGTGGAAGTTCGAGCGGTCTGTGAACAACCATTAGCATGCATACATGATTACTCGGAGAATAGTGGTGGAGACTTACATTGTGTGAGCAGCCACGCCTTCCAGTCCTCCTCGGAGCCGTTGGCAGCCACGGCCTCGAAGCCAGGGTTGGTCTCCTCGGTGACAATGTTGGCCAAGGGAGCAGCCTGGAAGGTCTTGCGGACGTACTTGGCCACCGCAATCTGACTGGTAAGATCCCAATCGAACTTGTAGTAGTTGGGGTTGATGATCGGCTTGGCAGTAGGATCGGCGGATCCAATGTGGACATAGCCACGGGCAAAGGGCATCAGAGCCCAGTACTGGGCGCTAATACTGCTGGTGCTACCGGGGTAGTACAAGATCTCGGCGATCGTGATCTTATCCTTGAAGATCAGGTCATACTGCAGCTGGAAGAGAGCTTCCAGATCCTCAGCCTTCATGGTGCCACTGCTCACCTGGGCGGTTTCGTTGGCCCATTGCTTGAGCTGGCGGCGGACGGATTGTGCGACCGCCAGGGTGTCGTTGCCAAGGACATCATAGATGTTGGGATAAACCACGGTCTTGGTGCCCGTCAGACCAGGGGTGGTGGAAGCACCTAGCCCCGCGTTGGTCTGGTCCTGAAGGTTCTCACCGACGGTGGGAAGATCGACACGGACAGAGATGTTGTACCTCTCCAGGATATCGCGGTTACCGATACCGGAGAGTTCCAGGATACCGGGCGACTTCAACGAACCGGCAGAAATGATGACCTCCTGGCTTGCTCCGATAGTAGTAACGGTGCCATTGGAAGAGGTGATCTCGACACCAGCAGCAGTGGCATTGCCCTGGGATCCTCCATTCTTCCAGACAAGACGGTTGACAAAAGTATCAAGCATCAGGTGCAGGTTAGGACGGGACGCAATGGGCCAATAGTATGCGCGAGCGGCATCTTCACGCACATATGCGGTGTAATCGATGGTGGAAGGGTAGACGTTGAAGCCACGCATCTTGCCGCCGTTGACATCCCCGGTCCATGGAACACCGAGTCCCTGGAAGGTGGCATTCAGGGTGTTGGTGAGGTTATTGGCGGGAATGTCGGGCCAGGCTACGGACAGCGGACCCTCCTCGCCGTTGGCATTGGGGTCGTAGGTGGCTCCTCTGGCACGCTGGCTGGCGGTGGGAACAGTCAAGTTCTCACTCTTCCGATAGTAGGGGAACAGGCTGTCCCAGGTCCATCCCTCGTTACCGATGGTCTGCCATGCGTCAACCTGGACGTCTTCGGCCCGAGTGTACGCCATTCCTGTGAATACGTTAGTGCTTAGTTCCATTCAAGCACACGTATGACATACCGTTGATGGCACTCGTGCCCGAAAGCGCCTTTCCAGCACGCAGCACCTGGGGGGCGTTGCCCGCATAGGACTGGTTGGTTGTCTCGTACTGCCAGTCGATGTCAGTACCGAAGGCCAGTCCGTAGCCGTCGACATCCGTGACGTTGGAGTTGTTGAGAACTGAACCACCGGCTTCAACGATGAGGACCGACACATTGGGGTTCTCCGACAGGCGGTTGGCAACCACAAGACCGCTGGTACCTCCACCAACAACGATGTAATCATACTGAGGACCCGAGAGATGAGTAGAAGGCGCTGTAAGGGTCGTTGACAGCGCACCCAAAAGGGTCAAGCTTCGAAGCATCTTGGTGGCCATGATCGCTCTGGAATGTTTGAACAGTGATGATAGCTTCAAGACCTTGCTCACCGGGCTTTTATACCTCTCATGACGCTGCATTCGTTCTGCAATGGCCCATATCGAGTTGCTTCATAATCCTCCGTCAGCAGGATGATATCCACTTCCCGAGCGCACCGGTGACCTCGTTGGATTGTCTGTATATTGCTCGTGATCCTGGGCCCATATAAACTTACCGTGCCGTGATCGGACAGGATCCACCGCCAGATATCGGCATGCCGGGTCAGGTATCGGCCTGAGACATCGCCAGACACTAGGCACCTCCTAGCCGCAAATCCTGGCTGGCCAGAAACTCCCTGGCTGATATCTGCAAGGACGCCACGCAGGGAGACGCATGACACTCGAAGCGTTGCTGATCCGTGTTCGTGGGACTGACACTTGGGTTAATGATATTCATGCGACGCCGTTGCATTATTCGCACCGGTTCCCGGAATGGCCATGAGGACCCTGAACGGGTCAGGTTTGGTTGTTGGGGTCGGACTGAACGGGTCTTCCCGCTTCAATTCCCGGCCGTCAAAATTTGCGCAACGGCGATTTCCCTTCCGTCACATCATGGATAGTGAAGGTTCCGTGAGGAATCCATAGTGCCTGACTAAATGTTTGTCATCTGGTTATCGGATCCACATTCCCTGTCGATCGGATTCATTTCGGCGTAATCAGATCCCAGGCAGCACACCAAGTGGGGTGGGTGAGTGATTTCTCAGCCTGTCTTTAACTTCGGCCCTGACTATCGCATTGCTTGGCGAGAATATGGCGGCCACAGTGCAAGAAGTGAGGTGAATGGCCTAATCTCGGTGAGAGAAAACAGCTGTTATGGCATTAATGAAGGCCTTTGGGCGGGTGTAATTCCGCGTCTAGCTTACATTGACAAAGGTTTCAGAAGTCCCAGCAGTTTGCTTTCTGTGGCCCCGTGGGTGACCGTCTGCTTTTCATCGCCATGGGTGCCGGCCAGAAAGTATTCCAGAAGAGTCAAAGCCGATGCTGGTCATCTATATCCCTCTTGTAGGCTGTGGTCCATCCACGCAAGTGAAGAAAGAGACCAGCCGCATCCTGCTGTTAGTACCCCTTGATGGCATCAGAATGCCTCCGTCCACCTCAGATGACATGAGAAGATAAATGGCCCTTACAGCGCCCCCTCCTCACCGAGATGGTTATATAGGCTGCCAGTATCCGCGTAACTAGCAGCCAGATGGCATGTAGCACGGCATGATGTCCGGTGTGAGATCTCCCACTATGCAAGGAGCTGTGTCACGCCGATAGCATCCGTGCCTGAGTTCGATATTTTCTTTTCCTCTCTGCCTCTTACTTAACGCCAAGGCTTCACTGTTGTGGCGCACAACGGATAATCACCTAGCTTGCTTGTCGGCCATCTCCATTTGCCCGATAAGAATATGTGGAGCTTCCCCTGAGACGGTTCCAACTAACTTCACACTAATTCTGGATACAGTATAGGTGCTCATGCAGCTATCCTTGTCCGCCATAACAATGGCTTGTAACTCGCCATTTGCTGCTCATATGACCGTCAAGGGTACAGTAAAGGATTTAGTCATGTGCTGCCTTGAGGAGCTTTTCGACGCTTCGCTGCTTGCGCCGTCTAAACCGCATGCCTTACTATATCTGTTGTGTATCGCCACGTCAGTTCAAGGAGCAAGGAGTTCATGAAACTACGCCGCAGTGTTCTGCATCATGACCATCGAGGAATGTGCCCCGCTACCCACCTTTGACATTACACCCGCGGCGATTCTAGACCATGCCAATCAGGTTATCCGCCAGGTCCAGCTGGACGTCAATCATTTAATCGACACAGTTGTCATTGGGGATGCCACCGTTGATACTCTAGTGCGTCCACTAGGCAACATAGACAATGAGTTTAAGTATCACATTCAGTACATTGCCCTATTCCAATCAGTCGCGCCGTCCCCGGATCTGCGCAAAGCATCGTCAGAGGCAGTGAACCTGGTTAATCAAGCTTACCTAGCGCTGTTCCAAGATGAGCGCCTATTCTATCTGGTCGACACCGTGTATAGCAAGGTCAATGATGGCAATGAAGATAGCGAGTCCATACGTCTCCTATCGAGATTCCATCGCATGTTTGTCGATAATGGCCTCCGTCTGGCTGGGGTAGATCGCGATCGGTTTCAGCACATTGTAAAGCGGTTGCTTGAATTGCGTGTCCAGTTCATGGACAACATTGCCACCGACCCGGGGAGTCTGTGGATAGCAACGGATGAGCTGAAGGGCCTCGATGAGGGCATGCTGAAGAACCTCGAACGGGGTCCTTCGGGGAGTGGTCGTATTCGTCTGGATCGGCCGACAGTCAGCACGATTCTGGGAAAATGCAGCGTGGCTCAAATCCGGCGAGATGTTTTCCTCGGTGGTCAGTCAATCTACCCTCAAAATGTCAAAATATTCCAGGATACTATCACTCTGCGACATGAAGCTGCCCGACTACTGGGGTTCCCGTCGTTCGCAGCACAACAACTACGGCATCAGCTGGTTAAATCCCCCGGCGCTGTCACAGACCTCCTGGAGGACCTCGAGCATAAATTGCAGCCGCTTGCGATCCGTGAGTTACAAGCCTTACAGACATTCGCTGGTCTAGAATCACCGCTTCATCTGTGGGATTTCGACTACTATCACCGCCGCATGCTGCAGGAACAGTATTCTGTCAGCCACGATCTGATCTCTGAGTTTTCCCAGCCGAACATACGATTCAGCGGATGCTGGGCATCTTCGAGAGGCTATTCGGATTATCCATTACGGAAGTTACAGAGAAGACCGACCGGAATGTGTGGCACTCTGATGTCAGGATATTCGCAGTACGCGACAGACAAGATTCTTCAGGCTCCTTCCTAGGCTACCTGTATACGGATATCTACCCTCGGCCAGGGAAATACAACCATGCCGCCAACTTTGACATCCATCCCGTAGGTCTACTATGTTGAAAAGACACAAGATGTTACTGAAAAATGTTGCAGGGATTTCGAAGGAAAGATGGGAGTCAATCTCCCGTCGCCACGGCTCTCGTGTGCAATGTATCGCCAGCTACAGCCGACCGACCGGCGCTTCTTCAGCACAGGGAAGTCATCACGCTGTTCCATGAGCTAGGACACGGTCGGTCGCATTGATTGGCTTTACAGTCCTCTCCTTGCTAATATGGCCTATAGGAATGCATGATCTCCTAGGAAGAGCCAAGTACGCTCTATTTTCCGGCCATCGAACTGTGCGAGACTTCGTCGAGGCACCCAGTCAGCTGCTGGAATACTGGTGCTGGGTACCAGAGTGTTTGCAACAGCTCAGTTGCCATTACACGTACCTGCCGGAGTATTGTGAGCGAACTTTGGCTGAGGGGACTGTGAAAGATGCCAGCCGACCACCGAGAGAGATACCCGAGGACCTAGTCAAGGGACTTGCTGCCGTCAAACAAGTCAATCAGGGTATCTTGACCCTGCGACAGGTTGCCTTTAGTGCATTCGATATGGAGATCCATGGCGAGCACGGCCAGAAAATCTCGGAAGGCAATGGCATTGCCGAGCGATACAATTCGTTACTACAAGAAATGACCCTCCTCCGGGGCCCTGAGGAAGTCAACTGGGGCCATGGATATGCCACGAGCCAACATTACATGTGGGGCCAAGAGGCCAACTACTTTTCATACCTCTAGTAAGTGTAGTGTCAATGGGTGTCTGTTTCTTGTTCTTACCTCGACTAGCACACGGACCTTGGCAGCGGACATTTGGACCTCCAACTTTCGTGACGATCCCATGAGTGCGGAAGCTGGACTCCGCTATCGACGGATGATTCTCGCCCACGGCGGTAGTAGAGACGAGTTGGAGATGCTCATGGAGTTCCTGGGACGATCTCCGTCTCCGGAAGCATATCTCGGGGATCTAGGGGTCGGGGAGCATGGCTGTTGATTTGTAGTAGCTTGACGAACCGTGGTTGCTATCTATGCCGTGAAGATCACACGAGCATCAGCGGAGCGCCCCGGAGTCATAATGATGCACCTTCATTGGCCGCCATCTCGTGTTGGGAGCGAACGGTGTAAGACGGCGGCTCAGCCAGAAGTCTCCGCGGTCGCACGGAGCCTTACGGAGGGCGGCGCTGCTTAAAGAATGTACATAAAGACCGAAGGGGGATGATGGTACTTTGAAAAATAATCTCACATCGCAATGTCAAGCAATCAGTACTAATATCTTCTCTTAAATTAATGTTCATAAATCAAACATGCAACAACAACAACAACAGCCAACAGTAGCCTTCTTCGGAGCGACGGGGGGATGTGCCAATGCATGTCTGGCTCTTGCCCTACAAGCCGGCGTTCATTGTTCCGCCCGTATGTGTTGTTTCTCCGTTTCCGATACAAACATCTCGAACTGACCCTAATCAATACTGAATAACAGTGGCTCGCACTCCCTCCAAGCTCCACAATCTGCTCCAGCAGCTCAATGTCTCCGAGTCCGCCATTGCAAACTACCTAACGGTCACGGAAGGTGATATCTACGATCACCAAGCTGTTCAAAAGACCCTCTATGTCGATGGCCGCCCCGTTGATCTGATCATCTCCGGCCTCGGCGGCAAGCCACGCTTCGAGTATGGCATCAAAGCCACCCTAGACAACCCAACCATTTGCCAAAATGGCATCCAGACTATCATTTCTGCCGCTCGATCGTGTCCCCAGAAGCCCCGGATCGTGATCATCAGCACCACCGGCCTCAGCGACACGCGCGACGTACCACTCATGATGCTTCCCCTGTACCATTGGCTGCTCAAGGTACCACACGCGGATAAGAAGGTGATGGAGGACCTTGTTGTGGCCGAGATGCAGAAGCCGGAGGAGGAACGCGCCATCGACGGGTATCTCTTTGTACGGCCCTCCTTGTTAGTGAACGGCGATGGCGATGGTCTGTCGAAGATCAGGACCGGCACCGACGAGAACCCCGCGGTGGGCTATTGTATTAGTCGTCGGGACGTGGGTCTCTGGATCTTCGAGAGGGTAATTCGTCAGGCATCGCTTGCGGACTGTCAGTATTGGGGGCAGAAGGTGTCCCTGACGGCCTAGGCAGCTGCGTGGAATATTTCGATATAGGTTGATCACTTGGAGCTACTGGGTAATATACTGGGTTCTACGGAGTACTGTGGATAATTGTCTGCACTACTTGATGTATTGTCTGTATTACTTAATGTTTACGCGATTATTATCAACTTTGTTTGATCTTCAAGACTACATATGTGGCATGTCGAATATCTACATCGTAACGCAGACACGGTCGGAAACATACAGTGTTTACTCGCATAACACGTGATCAGCCGTTTCAATTCAAAGCCTATACTCGTTAACCTTATCCTATCCAGGAGACTGGCGTCTAAGTAGCCTGCTTGCAGCTATCCAGTTAGTGCTGGATTTCACTGCCAGCCCGACTATTCAGACACGGTGACATCACGTGATCATTACAGACTAGTCCTCTCGGGCCAATGACATCATTGCATCCTGTTCTACTTAGTCATAAAATACCCGATTAGGAAACACATCAAAATCTCTCCCATGAAGTAGAAGAGTCATTGGACTGAAGATGGGCTATACTCTGGGGAATCTAAATAATCGCATACTGTGTCTATTAGCTGCACACCGGTTGCATGATTATTCCTAATGATGTTTTCCGTTGATTGAATAGTACTATGCTACTACCTTTTGTGAACACTAGTTGTCTCGGGATATATATCTATATATACTACTTGTTGAGGTACCTAATGACTTTGATCGGACATAACAAAATTTGTATAAACAGCCATTCATCTTACGATAAGGATATGCCATACCACTTCTACAATAGAATAGAAAACATATATTACGAACAGATAACATCCTGTAGTAGCCGGCGCTTGGTATTGATTCATTAAGGTCACTACCTTTTGAGACTAGTTGATGGGATACTTTCAGAACGTGCTGGCTCCAACACATCTTCACTTGAATTTGGAATTAACATACATTGGGTGGGACCACACTTCTGTACCCCAACAGACGAGTTCAGTCACTCAATCACGGATTCACGGCACCAATATCCGGTCGTCATACCTACTCTGAGTGAGCTATATCTTGCTTCTTCGAGTCCACGCTGATGAGGAGCGCCACAATTACCATCAAGTATGGGACATTACTTCTGGATGCCCAGGTCTACCCCTTCCAATAAAACATCTCATCATCAAGGAATGATTGATCTTATAAGCTCTCATAGCGAAGGCTAGACGAAGAACATCGGAGTCAACTCCAGAACCTTGCCTGCTTTATGCTGGAGCCTGCCGTTCTGGAAGACGATTCTTAAAGAGCATGTAGACTTCTTACCACCCAAAAAGTGATCCAAACTGCTACTACCTACTTGAGATCTCGGTAATTCTTCATTCCACTAATAGATCAGCACGCATACTTCCTTCAGTGCCGGGGAGGTATTGCGCCTGATGACAGGCACATGATCCTCAAACACAATATCGTCGCAGAGGTCGATCATTGCTCATCTCAGCATCTCTTGTAAAGCATAACACAGGGAAACCGAACTATGGAAGGGCTTGATGCTGGAAAGACCGGCGATCCCCGACTACCTACCGCTAAGGAACACCAGCCGGGCTATATCGTACATGACGCACAGGATCAGAGTCAACTCTATAGGTGTTAGTGTAAATTCTTCAAGAAGACGGGCCTTGGTACGAAGTAGAAAAGCTAAGCTTCGCGTTTTTCACAGCAATTATCTTCACACGCGGATCCGCAGCGTGTTTACGATCGAGCACAGCCAACTCGTGGTATGGAATGCGAAGATACTTAAAAGCGACCAGGATCTTCCATCGTTTATCCCGCACTATCGAACTCAATGGCTTGATGTGTTGATCACAGCCCTGGACAGTAAATCTAGACACGAGTGGCTGACAATGTTGTGAGGCACAGCAGAGCCTCGGAGGTCACCAGGCTTTGCAAAAACCATGATCCATAGTCTGGCGTCACCAAAATTGCCAAAGCAAGGGATGGGAACATAGGACTATTAACTGGCGAGGAATGTAAGCCATAGAGTGCTCCGTTCCTTGATCTGTTTGTATGTGTTTGAAGTAATTAGAAGTCGACATATAAACAAGGCTCCCTGTGCTGTCTCCCACGAATTTATTGAAATATCAAATCTCACTCTACTTGTATACACAAGCAATTCATTCTTTACGTTTGTCACGAACCTCATAATGAAGACTTACGGTATCTGGAGCACGCTAGCCACCCTTGGCTCATTCACTCTCTCCTCGGCCAAGACCCTCAATTTCGTTGCACACGAGGATGACGACCTCCTCTTCCTGAGTCCGGACCTGATCCGAGACATTCTTTCCGGCGAGCCACTTCGTACCGTGTTCCTGACTGCAGGAGACGCTGGAATGGGATCTGACTACTGGAACAGCCGTGAGGATGGCTCACGGGCAGCTTATGCGCGCATGGCAGTGGCGAGCAACAACTGGGACGAAGACGTGATCTACGTCGGAGACAAGACCATCAGCCTCTACACGCTGCAAGACGACGATGACATTTCCCTGGCATTCATGCACTTGCCGGATGGCAACATGGATGGAACTGGCTTCGGCGGCACCGACCAGAACGACAGCTTGCAGAAGCTGTGGGACGGCGATATCGACGTGATCCGGACCATTGATGGCTCGGGAGTTGAATACACGAGAGATGAGCTGCTTGAAACCATCGCCGCTCTGATTGACGACTTTGACCCCGACGAGGTCAAGACGGGTGACTATGTCAACGACTTTGGCGATGGCGACCACAGTGATCACTACGCCACCGGTTACTTTGTCGACAATGCCTTGCAGCAGGCCGACAGTGATGCTGATCTGACCGGATACTACGGGTATCCGATCCAGAACATGGACGTCAACATGGACGATTCGGACATTGAAGACAAGACAAACATCTTTTACGAATATGCTAGTTATGATACTGCCACCTGCGCCACTGATGATGCTTGCTCGAGTCGGCCTGAATCTGCTTGGTTGCAGCGTGAGTACGAGCTTTAAGGAAGCTTATCTTAAGCTGGTCTTGGGGACGATTTGGCCATTACTAGGCTGTGAGACACTGGGTGTTTTATTCTCTGCCATCTTGTACTTTAGTTACGACGCTTTGAAATATTATGTGATGACTTGATCGGTGCATTTAGAAGAGAGCATTATACGTGCCATGGGTACAGATTGTAGGCCATGCGTTATGTCCATGACTGTATTAGGTGCTGTACAAGTTAGCCCACTACTCCATGAGTGCGCGGAATGCATTGAACGATCGTGGATGGACCGCGATGTTTGTTTACTTCCTATTGAGGGTCATGCATTCGAACAGTCGACGTTGCTCTGCAACTAGAGCATACATTCCAAGTACCAGCGGAGGAATGTTCCCATTGTAGGCAGTATCACGAGGGAAGCTTCTGTTCTGGTTCCTGAAGGAGGTTGAAGCTCATTCCGTAGGCGAAACCCAAAGCTCCACGGCATGTATGCTTACCAATGAGAGCTAAATCAGTGTAGTTGATTCTAACACCGTGCTCATACTAAGAATGTTATTGTACGAACTGCTCATTTCCCCCTTTCTAGCATTTCTCTGGGCACTAATCACTCGATCTGTGCCATGTGATAATACCAGTTTACTGATCAGAACATACTCGAAGTATCCAACTTGATGCGGTGGTGATTGGTGGTAATGATGGACACGTCGACATGCATAAATCCCGGAATATTTCCAGGGTTATCGGAAATCCCGGATTTACAAATGTATGGAATAACCGGTACTTCGCAGCAGACTTCATTAACAATTTACCTGTTATCTACTAGTGAATTCCTTTCTAAGAAGATACCCACACTACGCAGTGACCTTCTTCCAGCTCTCCCTAGCCTTCAACCCCTCCCACCACTTCTGCACATGAGGAAACTTGCTCACCAGCTCCGTGAATCCGAATGGCTCAATAAAAACCCCGTACGGCAAGTGAGCCAAGTCCGCCAGTGTGAGTTGCTGCCCGGCCAGATAAGGCTGCTTGGACAGGACCCGCTCGTAACCTTCGAGAGTGAGTTCGAGCTGGGAAAAGAGGGATTGGACACGGGCTTCGTCGGTCTCTCCGTGACCTTTGCGGGCCTTGAAGACTTTTTCGTAGGCGATCTGAGAAGCGAGGGGGTCGAAGTAGGATTGTTCGATGGAGAGGGCCTATCCCAGTAGCTTCATTAGTCTCCCAGAACTTGTGATGAAATCAAGGAATAGCCATGTATACCTGCTGGTAATAGGCGAAGGCTTTCAAGTCCGACTCAGGAGGGGCCAAGTCAGTGCCCTGGCCGCGGTACTTGGTAGCGATGTATTGAGTGATGGCTCGACTCTCTGTTCACGGAAGTAGTGTTATTAGGGTATATCTGGAGATTGTTTATCGCAACACCAACCGTAGATCTGGATGCCTGTTTCTGTATCCTGCAGCACAGGTACCTTGCCAAACGGCTGAAGATCGTTCAGATAAGAGGAGGTCCTCTGCTCGCCCTTGGCCAGGTCGATGGGGACGATATCAACGTCCAGCCCTTTCTCGGCCAGGGCAGTGCGCACGCGACGGGTGCAGGTGGAGTGAACAAAGCCGTATAGCTTAAGAGTCATGTTGGAAGGATGAGGTGAGATGCCCTTAGTGAGATTCAAGCCAAAGGAAATGAAGATAAAGCGATGGTGGTGAATGCGACCGGGGGGAGGGAGGGGAAGGTCGGGGATAGTTGCATCGAGATGCAAGTCTGGCACGTCATCTCGGGTTCCCCACCACCGCGGAATCATTCCGGCATATAAACAAAATTCTCTTCATGTGCTTACAAAAAACTGATTGATTACAAAACTTCCAATTTAAACAACTACCAAGTGATGGACTAAGATGAGGGCCGACGGGGTCGGAAGGTGGCCCACAAGGTTGGTACAGACATGGCGAAGTTATCCAGTTCCTTGCCATCAAAGGCCCGCCGCTCATCGGCTAGCTGGATGTGATATTCTCCCACGATCATCGCCAAAGCCATGCGCATCTCCATCCAGGCAATACTCTTACCTACGCAGTCATACGAGCCTATGCAGAGACACATCTTAGTTGACGAAATCACTGAAGATATGGGTTGACAGACTCACCTCGTGAAAATGGAATGAATGGCACATCGGCCAGGTTATTGATTGACGCCCACCGTTCAGGACGAAACTGGTCAGCATCCTCCCAATAGCGCTCATCACGTTGGATGGCAAAGGTCGGCACGGACACTATCACATCCCCCGGTAAGTGGAGATCCTTGTCCACCTGCAGTCCCTGCGGCGGAGTGACGCGCACCAGACCATCCAGCACCGATGGCTGCAACCGCAGTGTCTCGTTGATCACCGCTGTCAGGTACGGGATATCCTTCACCTTTTCATATGACAAGTCCTCTATTCCCTCGGGTACTCTCTCATCGACCTCGCGCTGGAGCTGGACCTGCGCGCCCGGATGCGTCGCGAGGTAATAGATCGTATTGATCAACGCAGATGCCGTCGTGTCGCTAGAATATCCGATCATCTTTCGTCAGTATATTTCTATTCGTCTGGGAACTACCAAGCCTGGGGCTCCTCAGGGCCAACCTTACCTGCCAGCCGACATGATGAACCAGGCATCATCCTTGATTGCTTGATCCGTGGGTGGCGCGCCAGGATCACCGTTCTCCTGGCCTTGGATCAACCAGCTAATGATGTCTTTAGGCTCACTCGACTTGGCTCTAGACTAGAGATATATTAGCACAGCCAGACAGTGATATTTCTACAGAAGCGGATGGAAGATATACCGCACGCCTCGTATCAAACAATTCATGACAGCGATGCCGGAACGGATTAAGGGTCGCGGACAGACCGGGAATCCTCATCAAGATTGGCGGGATCCACGGCATAGTGCCGGCCACTGCAACGTATCGCTGGCCCTCGTCGATAATTTGCAGCTCAGGGATCCTCTTTCCGGTCTTCAGCATCCCCAGCTCCGCTCCCAGGACAACGTGTCCCATGACATCGAATGCGTAACAGTTGATCCAGTTAGTAACGTCCATGGGCCGCCCTTGGTGCTCCCGGATCTTCTCTATCAGGATCTTGCTTTGTTCCTGCACGGAATTATGATAGTATTGGATACCTGGTGCCACACACTTCTGTCAGTGGTCTGGTGGTACCGCGATTGGAAGGAAGAAGTTTGGTCAGAATCGCACCTTTAGCTGCTTGATCCCACTGTCGACGCCGCTTCCTGTGCACCTTGAGGTCGCGGATGGCAAACAATGTCTTCTTGTCGTTCTCATGAGTGATCTGATCGTACCAGGGTCCCTTAATACATCGGCTAGGAGGGCCATAGATGGCTTGAATGGCCGAGGCGCGACAAACGGAAACCTCGCGGGGACCTATTGAGAGTGTCAGTTGAGAGGGCTTGAAACAAGGTTGAGGGGGGTCTAGGATACCAATGCGAACGACATCACCATACTGCTGGTGCAGACGCTGAATAGTATAGTGCATCTGCGCATCTTTGACGGTATGGTAGGCGGCGTAGTGACGTGAAATACGGGCTGCGATCGGGCCCGGCACGTTGCGCAGTCGGTGGAAGAAGAGGCGGTACACGAGGATATTCCCGAACAGGCCTGTGAACAGCGCGCCATCCAGGAACAATACTCGAAGGACGATTTCAGATGTGCTTGAGGTGGTCGGTAACAAGGCTGGAGCCAGGGTAATCAGGGCAATGTGGGCAAGAGTGAAGATGCCAAACAACCTCAACAGGTGTTTCTCGATTTCGCCCGAGCGAGTTATAAAAGCCAGCAGCACCCCGGCCAAGGTGCCAAAGACACCCAGCTGGGTCCATGGACTCTCCATGTTCTGATAATGTTGGTTCGTTTCGACTATTCTGATGGCTTGATGATCTTAAACAAGGGAGCATCCAGGTCAGAGCCTCTCTTATAGGCGTAGGCGGGCTCTGGACCCTGTGAAGACAAATAGTGAAGGCACCTCTTAAGTCAATGAATCCCCACACAGTCACGACCGCTGTCAGGGGCGAGAAGGACAGACTGGAGGAATGACTGCTATGGAGGACATTCCTTACGTACTTAAATATATCAGTCAGTGAAACAAGTGTAGATGCGAGGCTGAGACTGACTCTTACTTACCGTCCGCTTAGACGTGCATCTCCGGCATGAGACGGGCACCAAGTGATCCACTCATTCGTTGTCGCTCAACGAAATGGATGGAATTACTAGTCGAACCCACCAATGAGCGGCACTAGTATAGAGGCGATCATTTAAATCTAAAGTAGCTGGCCGTGCGTTTCTTTGTTTGTATAGCACCCCTGCCTTGCATTAGAATAGCGCCATGGTGTGGCACCCCTAATGTTCGCCGGTTGAGAGTCCAAACGTTGGCAATCCACGATCCCCAGCCTCAACAGTTCCTAAGAACTCCATATCCAACATCCACAAGGCCTTATCGATGGCCCTGAAAGTAAAGTTCAAGAAAAGAGTTCGGGTTCAACCAAGGAACAGCGTCTTCCCCGCTCCCGACTCAATCTCCACTTCGACTGACGCCGTCGATTTCATGAAGCACCGAACAACGCACCACTACCCCCATACAGCTCAGCTGCTATAGCGAACGTAGCTACTCCTGACAAAATGCTTGTCGCTGTTCTTCCAGCCTCACCCAAATCCGCTCAAGAAACCATCCGGGCTCTTTTGGAAGCAGACCAGTTAACTGCTCCAGTCCACGTGCGCGCCATCTACCGTGACCCTGCCAAAGCCCCCGCTGAGTTCGTCGCACATGGTAGCTTCCACGCGGTCGCAGGTGATCTCAGCAATGCAGCCAGCCTAGACCTAGGAAACGCTGATACCGTCTTTGCCATCACACCGCCGCGCTATGATGGCACCGACATGATGCAGTGGGCCCGCCAGGCCTCGGAAAATACTCGCGCAGCGATCCAGAAGGCCGGGACGGTCAAACGCTTGGTGCTCCTTTCTAGCATGGGGGCCGAACAGCCAGAAGGAACAGTGCGTGTACCTCCATACCGTGGTTTATACGAACAGGTACGGAGATTTATAAACTCACATAGGGAGAAATCATGACGAACCACATCGCGGAAGAGATTCTCAAGGATGTCGTGCCCGAAGTGGTCTTCATGCGATGTGCCTACTTTATGGAAAACTGGGCGCCAGCCATGGAAACCGTCCAGTCAAAACATCCACATCTGTCGTCGGTCATCACTCCGCTGGATTATGAAATTCCCATGGTGAGACTGACCTTCTGGTGATGTGATATAGGATTACTGGCTGAACCTATTACTTTACAAGGTTTCCGTCGCCGATATCGGAAAGGCATGTGCCACATATATCATGGCCATGGACCATCCCAAGAGTCCATATATCGTGGAGGTTCACGGTCCACGAGAATACACGGCAAAGGACGTACAGGAAGCATTCCAAGACGTGGCCGGACATGCAGTCGAACTCAAACCCGTTGAAAAAGCAGATTTGCCCGCGTTTTTCGGCCAATTTTTACCTGAAGCTTCGGTCGGTCCGTTTGTCGAGATGACTCGGAGTTTCTTGCCGGGAGGGATTATTGCGAAAGAGTCTGGAAATTCCCCATCTCCGGATCGCATGTATCGTGGTCGGACGGAGCTGGCGGATGCAATTCGGCGCATGTTTAAAAAGGGCAAGGTTCAGGTCGGGGGTTAATGGGCCGTAATTGAACCTTATTCTGTCAGTACTATCACTTGGTATTCTCATGAATCAATTAATGTTTATTTTTACATCGATGGATGCACTCTGGCTTATGCCAAAGTGGCCTATACGTGTTTTATATCATCCCAAAAATATTTTTTTCTCGATATATCATCCTCAGGCCAAGGCAGCTGGAACAGATGATTATGTGCAAGCACAGACCCTATACCATTGCAATGCTACCACAACTCGCTCCAATCGTGGTCCGAGGTAGAACACTTAAACAGTATTCATAATGAGCCGGAACAAAAGAAAAAGGGTACAATTGAAAAGTATAACGCTGCATAATAGTCATCGGGTATCAAGATCAAGATCACTATAGTTTACACTCGCTAAACATCTTCCTCCTTGCTTGCTCAGCCTGCTCCTGTATATCCAGGTCCCAAAGCCATCGCAGTCGTTGCTGGAATGTCTCTCGTAGATTTACCTCATTATCCCCCACACCATCCAAACACAAGCACAGTAGATACGCATTCTCCTTACTCGTAGTGACCACATGCTGACTTCGCGGTCGACGGACTTGATCATAAGCTCTGAACGCCTTCACGACGTCATCTACGCTGTTTACTCGCGGGTCGCTCAAGAGCTCTGCCAGGACGTGGGCATCCTCGATAGCCTGACCGGCACCCGCACCTTGATGTGGCGTAGAGGCATGAGCCGCATCACCTAAGATGGCCACGCGAGATTTAGTGTACGTTGACAAATGGGGATGCTCAAAGAGGGCCCATTGCGAAGGGTCAGGCATGCGCTGGTAGCAGTTAGCGTCCATGCCCTCGAAGAATATCATCAACGTACCTCAACGAGAGCCTCTACATATCTACCCATACCCTGGGCATCTCGTCGCATATGTTCTTTACTTGCTGGCCGAACCCATGCCTCATGATCCCAGGTCTCACTCAGGATGTAGAGACCAAAGTTCACCTTTTTGGCACGCATGATGGGGTAGGAGATGGCATAGGCGCCTTTGCCGAGATACATGGTGGATACGCGGGCGCGTTGATCACCGACGGCCGTCACCATCTCATCCATGTCGAAGACAGCCCGGTAGGCATACATGCCACTATACCGAGGCTGTTTGGCAGCAGACTCCTCCGGTAGCATTGACTCCTTGACTTTGGATTTTATCCCATCACATCCTACCACCACATCGGCCATGGCGATTGTACCATCTTCAAATTGTAGCCGGACCCCGTCTGTTGTTTCCGTCAGTTGTTTCAACCGTTTGCCAAAATGAACAATTTCGGGAGGGACCAGAGCCACGAGGGCGGCGAGGAAGTCCGCACGTCTCAGCGTCGTCTGTCCGGACGGCAAGGCCTTTAGGTTCATTAGAGTTTCGCCTTCATGGTCGCCGGTGGCCCAAACGAGTTCAAACCACGTTTGTTTGTATTGTTCATAGCCGGGGCTATCCGCGTGGGTTGTGACAAGAGCGTCGTAGATGGCTCGAATCTCCGGGTCGATGAGGGGCATAGCCCGGTGAGCCGCCGGACCAATGGACAGCCCTAGCCCGATCTCTGCAAAGGCAGCGGCGGCCTCATAAATTTGAACCGGAACCTGACGTCGTAGCAGACCGACCGCGAGAACGAGGCCACCGATGCCTCCACCGATGATGGTGACGGTAAACGGTCGGGGTGGGCCCATAATGATTTGATGGGCAGCAACTTTGGTTCGGGCGGGGATCAGAAAATAGTAGCCCTCAAACTAGACTAAACCTCGGCTCGCACTCCCCACTCTCTTTCTATTTTCTGTCTGTCGCGTTCGGGGTATGGTTCCTCCCACTCCCAGTTCCTCGTTCAGGTCCAGATCTGGTCTGACATGGGTGGTAGTAGAGCCAGGGGGGGCATCAAGGGAGGATTAGAAATAGATGGTTATCAATGCGGCGACGACAGGTAAGTGAGCCGCGGTGCCCCTGAGAGGATGGCCATTAATAATTTGGATCACCACGAACAAAGCGTTCAGGAAGCGAAGTAGGCAGGGATGTCCCATCTGGATGGACTGTGAGTGGCGTGATCCCATGTCAAGGAATCCAGCCAATGTCACCAAGAATAGACTAAGACAACTAGTGGCCTGCTTAGATTGAGGGGAAATCGACGTGTCGCGGTCATCCCCGATCAGCCAGCCCCAAATGATGACTCCTTGCTTTGTTTCCGACGGATTCATGATGCGTGATTTTTGACGACAATGCAATGCAATTGATTGGAGGAGTGTCACTAACCAATTGAAATTAGAGTCTGACAGCCGTTGATCCAGACTAGTAGGAGTATGGAAGCATAGAGCCCTCTCGTGCCTGGCAGATGCCCTATTCTTTTGTGTCGGCCGGTTTCCCCGCGATATCTCCGGGCCCGTGCCTGCATCTCTTCCCGTGTTCGAGGTGAACTGACTCCAGTTCAGTCCGTTCAGCTCCCCCACACATGCCCGGTCTTAATTCATAAACCTCTATTCCAAATTCACACTTTTCACACATTGCACACTCTAGTCACTGGGATCGCCATCTATGTGCTACAATATATCCTACCAACGAAGTTTATCGCAAAAATGAGAAGCTTCACAGCACCCCATATCAACTTCTCCCCGAAAGCTACTTCAAGTCATGGACCAGGAGCACACGACAGGTCGCGTGTGTGGAGTCCTCCGTGGAGCATCAATGGATGAATGACTGTGCCAGCTGGAAATCATCCCGCCCTCCTCCATCCTCATTGGCACACTTCCAATCCACACCAAACAAGACATCAAGAGATCTCGGGCGTGCCCAGCTGCACCCACGGACCAGGTTCATGCGCATAACTTCCTCCGACCTTGGTCTGGACGGACTGAGATCCACGATCTCTTTCCCTTCCGGGCATAGACAGGCCGATTAGGTTGACTTAGCTGGCTATCCCCTGATGGCCTTACGCACGCCTGCCAGGATCAGAGATTTTTTATTCCTGGTCTGTCCCGGGGTACAAAGTCTTTTGCTGGAGCCTACCCTGAGTACTCGTCGGCCCCTTCACAGAATACGGATGATTTCGTTGGGTTGTTTCTTCTTCTACTCAGCGGTGCGGTTCGGTCAGATGCATCATGCTGCCCTGGATACGGGCGGTTGACGACAATGCCTCTCAGGCATCAGTCGTCGTAGTCCCGACCATTGTGACCACGGTCATTGCCGTGGTACTCACCCTGCTGCGGCTGTACGTGCGAAAGTTTGTCATGAGGACACTGTCCTGGGATGACTGGTTCAACCTCCTCGCGACGGTAAGGGCTGCGCTGGCAGGACTGTTCAACGCTTTTACTGATGCCCTTTGACTCAGTTGACCACCCTCGTCGCCATGGCCTTGATACTCGCTGCAGTCCCGTACGGACTAGGCCGCCATTATGACACCCTCGACGTCGACCGTGCCGTCTATTGCATCAAGCTCATGCGGATGTGCCTCTTTCCGTTGCTGTTCTCGACTATCTTCCTGAAAATCTCCATCGGTCTTCTCTTGATGAGGCTGTTGTACGTTCTACCAGAGGCTAACTCGACGGATTATATGCTAACAAGGCATCTAGTCTTACAACCAAGGTGTGGAAGATATTCTTCTGGTGCTTCATTGCCTTCAACACGATCACGAGCCTTCTTGATGCCGCTATCGTCCTCCCTCAATGTGATCCGGTCGCGCGAACATGGGACAAACGAGTGGATGGAACCTGTTGGCCTAGTTCGGCAATCAATGGGGCGGCCATTGCGCAAGGAAGTAAGGAACCTTCTGATATTTATTTGGATCACCGGCTAAGTCGTAAGCGTAGCAATTGCCGCAGGAACAGACATCGTGCTATCCATCCTACCCATCGTGTTTCTATGGAAGGTTAAAATCCCGATCAAAGTGAAGGCAGCCATATGCGGGCTCATGGCACTGGGGTTTGCGTGAGTCTATTCTATGCTCAGGCCGGACGGTATGCTGATTTCGTATAATAGGAGTGCGGGGTTTGCACTTGGGCGAACAATGTACGTTTCCACCTTGACCGAGTCATCGGATCCGACATGTACGTGAATACCTTTCGATCCAACTCTTGTCATAATAATTCTAATATGGGACTAGGGGACTACGTGAACCTCTACATGTGTGCATTGTAAGCGAGCTCTTTACCACATACACTTCGTATTGCTAACCACCTCACAGCCTAGAATCCTCCATTGGAGTCATCGCTGCCGCAGCACCCTCTGTACGGCCTCTCCTTCGCCCCCGATTCTGGAACAAGGAATACTCCCGGTCGAGATCCCGCTCTTTCCCGCTGCATACGTTGACCGCCAAGAAGAGCGCACGGCCGGCCTGGGGCGATACCCTGTTCGATACCAGGCTCGATCTGGAAGACCGCCCGATCAATTCGAGGGACAGCGAGTCCAAGCTGTGGCCACAGCTGAGCATGGCTATTGTGAAGCGGACGTCGATAGAAGTGGTGACCAATTCCTTGACGCATAGTGAGGTGAAAGCCATGGGACGGCGAAGTGCTTAGAGTTTTGTACAGATAAAGACTGGTTGGATGCAAAAGTTTCCCACATATTATTCCTGCTACTGAACAGAGCTAGAGAGGCTAATGTCACTTTAATTACCCGGCTATATCATTATGCCTGCCCCTTCAGCCCCTTATCGACTGCTATATTAACTAGCGTCAAACAAATCAGTGTTGTCTAGTGTTATTTCCATTCATCCAATCTCCGCCCGAGGTATGTGTCAGATCTGTCCATCTTGTGGTTGCCGATTTATCCTCTTCTCCTATAATTGTGTGCTGGAGATACAAATAAACCAACCCTTGTTCAATTCCACGATCCAGTGCCAATTCCCACAAAAGCAAACACTGTTATCAGATGCTGGCTATCTGATTAGATTATTCTCGGTACCGGATATGCACAAGCTGCAAATTTCACAACTGAGGACAACTTCCGAGAGCAGAGTGGGCTCCTCGCTTGGTTGTCGTCGTCATGGGATAATGTCTAGCAGGGCAGAACTTCGTCGCCATCGAATAACATCGGAGCAATAAGGTCGTGGACCTGACTCTCACAGTGGAGACGTCGGACATCGGAGGCAGCCAAGTCGATCTGCCCCGACGGTACTGTAGATCTTATCCCTCCAGGGTACTGGGCGCCAAGAACTCCTACACCCTTCACATTATGTCTGTCCGATTCTCGTCCGTCGAGTACGAGGTTCCTGCTTGAAGGAGGCATATCAGAAAAGGGTGATATGTAAATACGGTTATAACTTCAATCATGACTTCTCGGACCCGCCGTCGCAGGACCCACGACATCTGCCTGGCTCTATCAACGGAATATCGATGCTGTTCCTATACTTTGGCTATGGCCGGAAACAAGGGTCACTAGTTGAATTGCCCCTCTGGGCTGTGGGTTCAGCCCTGAATTTTTGCTCCAATAGATGCGAATACAATGCTTTTTAATCTTATCTGGTGCAGACCATCGTCGGACAACGGACACCGGAGAGAACTCTCCGGCCGCGTCATTACTCATGCCTCAAATAATTGGACTCTTGGCAGGTGGATGTACAGCACTCGTCTGATACTCTGGGTGTCCGCCAGATCTCGCACCAGGAGCGCATCGCTACCACACAGAAGCAGCTGGGAAACTCGTCCATCGTCACGCTGAACACGACTGGTTCTGACCTGCAACTCGTCTACGACCCCAGCACGGCAGACTTCGTCAGCGACGATGAAACCACAGGTCTGAGCGCCTACCAGCCCAGCTGGTCCCCATGCGGTGAGTGGCTTGTCTTCGGCGTGGGATTCTGGTTCGAGACTCGAGAAGCCTCCGGTGGATGGATCGTGCGTGCTACCGCTAACGGGAGCTACTCGGAAGTACTCGTGAACAGCAGCTACTCCATCACCGAGGACGGGGCTCTGAACAATGGATTCCCGAGCTTCTCACCGGACGGCAAGAAAGTAGTGTATCGGGTGTGGGGAGCCGACACCGCGACATACGGCAACGCCAGCGAGATCGGGTTGCGGGTACTGGATCTCGAGACGCGGAATACAACTGTGCTGACGACTGAATGGGATAATCTACCCCAGTTCTCTCCCGATGGAGAGCTCATCCTGTTCACGCGCAAGACTAGCACGTACAATTACGATGTGTGCACAATTCGACAGGATGGGACAGATCTGCGCGTGTTGACGAGCAGTGGTGCTAATGATGCACATGCAGTGTGGTCACTGGGTGGACGTATTATGTGGTCGACGGGAATGTATGGGTTCCGGTACGAGTGTGCCTTGTATGATGATACCTTTCAGCCGTATGGATAGATTATGATTATGGATAAGGACGGGGGGAATAAGAAGTTGATGACGAACTCGATGTGGGAAGATTCGATCCCGTTGTTTTTGCCGAGGGAGGTGCTTTAGTTGGTGAGGCTGCTGGGTGTATGATAGTCTTTACAAGGGTGGTTGTGATTATAGCATGTTGGGGAGGATGGAATGAGAGCTTTATTTTATTATAGGACCTGTTATAGGAACTAAAATCCATAGTCTGTTCCAAGCATAGGACCTTTCTGCAATGGATGATTGCGATCCATTCATCCAGCTTATTTCATGCCAAGTACTCCCATATCCCTATCAATGACAGCCATATTCGCAATCACTGCATTCTTCTTCCGCCGCACAACATATGGCATAATCCCACACGTCGTCCCCAAGGCAGTCGGAATCACACTAGTGTTTTGTCAGTATCATACAGTTATATATGATCATACAACTCACACTGCCTTCATCACTGTTCCAACATTCAGTGGAACAAACAGTCCTGGCTCGAAACCAGGTCCACGGTATCTCCGGACCAGCACTTACAGCCTTGTACGACCGCAAGGCTATAGATAATCAGTCAATAGATCGATGTAGGTGCGACAGTTAGGGAGCATACTTGGCCGCGAGAAGTGCGATGATAGTTGTGATCTGCATGGTTCTTATAATTATCTATGTGTAGACAATACTATGATTTAAGGCAAATAAATGATTAAATGTCAAGGAAGATTAGTTCAGAATCTTTCACTAGGTTCCCACGATTATTTATATCAAGCTCTGATAAAGCAATGACGAAGACTTGGGCAGTTAGAGTTGCTGTTGGAGCGACTTTACATCATTCGGACTATTTGGATTCGTTTGAGACATTGCTCGGAACACAGTCACCCAGTATATATTAGGCGAAATGAATATTGTATAAATTATAGGAGACATACACCCGTAATAGCATTAATTGGGATCCTGAGGAGAAATATTCGTCTCATGCAGTGTAAAATATCACACCGTCCAACGTGTACATCAAGCCCTAACAAACAACACTACTTGTGTAGTCGATTCTATGATGCCGTCATATTTTAAGTAAGCAACCCAGGCCCATGCCATGACGTTGCAATTATCTCCCCGCAATGTTACATCCGCACAGGTCCTTTCCCCACAAAGTGGGTATTGCAGTTGATATGACACATCTGCTCTCATGCTCTAAATTGATCTTCTGAGAGTTTAAATCACTATGCTTTGTTAACTCTATATAGTGTCATCGTCATTGATCCTCAGTGCCGTGGTACTGTTCCCCTGCCATTGCTTATTATGCAACCGATTAATGCAAATTGTAATAGTGCGACAACTATTAAAAATTTCATAGTTTGGTTTTCCGTGACTTGGCCGCGCGGAATGAACTGGGCGACTTGATCACCCTGCGCCATTTATCATTCAGCACCAAATGATCGCGTTTAGCCATCTTCTGTCTCTTTTCCTTCCACTCCCGCTCAGTGTCGCGGTATCCGCGCATAACCTCATCTAACCAGCTGGCACAATGGCCGGCTGTCTCTCCCACCACCTCAAAGGCGAAGAAGTGGCCTTGTTTGGGTAGAGTAACCTCCTTGACCTTGTCTTTCCCACCGCTGCCGCCGACCCCTTGACCACAGCTCTTGATTCCTTCCCGGAGGTCCTTGAGATTCAAATAACTCGCTTCGCCCAGCAAGAAGAGGGCCGACGGTCGTAATGATGGCAACTTATGAAATGTACTGGGTGGTTCAGGGCGATACACTGGAAGGACAGCAACAGAGGGGTCCACATCCGCATGGGTTGAGCGATCCAACTGAGCCTGACCATCTGTCATTCCAGCGTGGAAGCGTTCCCGGATTTGGCCCAGCACATCATGATACTTGGTCGTGGTCAGTGTGACAGGGGGGTCGGCAGCGTCTGCATTGTCGGGCAGGTCGGGATGCAGGGCCGTGGGCAGATCCCGGAACCCATACTGTACCATTAGTTCGAGACAACGGGGATCCCATTTTTTGAACATCTTTTTGTAACCTGCAGCAGCAGCGGCTCTATCTGGCCAGACGTCATCACGCCACAAGGCAAAGTTGACAGGACCGGGGGGATCAGCGCCAAAGCCCATCTTGGGCGGCAATCGTTGAATTACCGGATCGAAGAGGATAACCGAAGTTAGTAGACGGGGGTGCATCAGCGCCAGATTCGTACTTGGGAGTGATCAGCAACCATCCATCTAGGGTAGTGGGTGGATACGCACATAATGGTACCTCCGAAGCTGTGGCCTACTCCTACAAGCGGTCGGGGCATCCGGTCGCGGAAGTGGTTGATCATCAGGAGCAGGTCGCGGGGATGGTCCATCCATGAGCCTAGAACATGACCATTTTAGAAGCGTGCTATGGAATCAAGGCAAGGTAGGGCCACAGTCACGCACAGTCCATGCTGAGTTTATCTTCGTTGAGTACTCCACTCATGCCCATGTTGGCAACGTCTGCTATCCAGATACCGCGGATGTGGAAGTTGGAATGAGCGGATCGAGCGAGAAGCTCGTCCCAGAGTGGCTCGTAGAGCTCCTATTCCTGATCAGATCACCTCCATCCATAGCATTGAAAGGAAAGACACCTACTTTGGGTAAGCCCACAGCATGAACTGCAATGATGGTGACGGCATCAGCTGGGACGGGATTGGGTAGATGGCGAGGCGTGTATTGCTTGATGTGGAGATGCAGGACATCTTCTTGGTCCACGGTACTGCCCGCATACTCCCGAACATAGCACGCGGGGATGATGTGCTCGGTGACTCTGAACTTCGCGGTCGACATTATTATAAATCACAGTAAGGGAGAGGTTTATGGAAGGAGGAAATAAGCCGATGATGATGAAGGCGGGGGGAAGTAGCTGATGTAGTTGAGCTGAGTGAGACGGCAAGTCTGGGTCGGGCGGCCCACTTCCCCCCGGATCTCGAAGCTGGCCAGTAATCCACTCAGTCAAGTTGACAGTTGGATTCAAGGCGTACTGGACTCTTGTTGTAAAAATATGGTCACTATTAAAATCTTGATGGTGTTGTGATCGATCCTTGATGTGGGGAGTTGGCTGTGTAGTACACTTGAAAGATACACCGTCACACAGTCATCCCGATAAGGGCTGCCACGGGAGGGACAGTGGACAAATCGGGGTAATACTTGTTGTGGAAGAGAGGGAGATGCGAACTTGTCTCAAAGGCATTGTTGTTGTGACTATTTTTAATCGCCTTCAAAACAATGCATTATCTTCCCGAGCGACCACAACAAAAAAGAGAAAAGGGAAAAAAAGATATGACAAGAGTGGGACTCGAACCCACGCCTCTTTCGAGACTGCAATACATCCAACTGAGTTGGACAAGTGAGATTCACTTGAGTGCAGCGCCTTAGACCACTCGGCCATCTTGCCTTGGATGGGATATTGGCCGAAGCTTTGCGTACATGTTGACAACAGATTTGACCCGGACTTGACACATTGATGCACGTGTGGCCTGCGACTGCCCTATTTTCCTTCAATGGAAAACAAGTATAGGTATTTACCTAGAGCTTAACCCAGTATCATCTATTTGGCTTTTCTCTGGCGAATATATTGACCCCAAAATTGTGGGTGGTGATGAAGAGTCTGCTACTACACTGCCAGTGATCTGCTATCCGCGGATATATTCAGTCTCAGTCTCTAACCTCACGTTGACTGCCTGTCGGTAACCTCTCCGACCGGGTCAAATGCTTCAAGATGGTTGGCCAGTAAACCGTCACCAATGCGATGGCGTGCGTTGGCGGAACCATCGCCTCATCACCGCCACGCCCAGCCCGGTAACTACTTGAATTGGCGCCTCGGCAGAGGAATCTATCATTTCAAGATGCGGGGAAACACCAGGGATGGCCGATCCTCCCCTGTTCCCCGTGTTCAATTCTTAAACTGCAAGCTTCACATCCGTCATGAGCGCTGAAGGAAGAATTCGCAAACGTATCCCCAAGTCATGTAAACGCTGCCACCGACGCAAGCAGCGATGCGTCGGTTATCCGACCTGTACCGGCTGCGAATCCGCCAAACAGCCCTGTCTGCGATCCGAGTCCGTTCCCTCCTGGCACCATGCCATGTCCAAAGGGGCATTGGTGCGTCGCATCGAAGTGCTCGAAGCGCAACTATCCGCTGCACTGGAACAGATTCCCCCGGATGAAGAGGCGCCAGCAGAACCGCTGTCAACGGGCGCAAAACTACAACCCCATGACTCCCGAGCTGGAGTGGTCTCAATGATGGCAATGAGCCAGGAGGGGAGCGACAACCTGGCTTACCTAGGACCCTCGTCAGGAATGTCCATCGCAGAAGATCTGGGCCGTCTGGTGCAAAACACCGTCTGGCTGAGGTCCATTCCCATCAATGGTGGTCACCACCAACCTCCGCCGGATTGCGAGAGAACCGCAGCCAGCACCGCATTACCGAGCGAGGCTGTTGGTCTGCGCCTCCTGAATGCCTATTTCAAAGACATGCATACCCGTCTCCCGTTTCTGGATTGTGCGGAACTGATGCAATTGCATGCGACCGTACGAAAGTCCCCGTCAGATCAGATGAGCGAGGCTGCACGGTTCAAACTATTCATGGTATACGCCATTGGCGCAGCTATTCTACAGATGACCGAGACCTACGACTCCACGCCCCCGAGCGCCTTTGTAGCCATGGCACTACAGCTAAAATCTGTCCTCGGGGAATCGCAGTCCTACATGAACATCGAAGCACTCATGTTACTCGTCCTCTATCACATGCGAACATCGTCTGCCACGAGAGTATGGTATCTGATAGGTCTAGCCATGCGCATCTGTATTGATCTAAGGTTACACCGCGAATCTCAGTATCAGAAGATGCGACCGTATGAAGGGCAGATGCGCCGGCGATTGTTCTGGTCTGTCTACCTGGTTGAGCGATATGTGGCCTGGTCTTTGGGACGGCCGTTCAGTGTTCCCGAGGAGGATATTGATGTCCATGCTCCAGCGGATCTGGATGATTCGTGTACCAGCGACGAGCTGGTTGAGCAGGCTTTGCACGGCTCAGTGGCTCCGCGTGAGCCGGCGCGTGGAAGGAAGCTTCGGAGATTTATTGCTTTAGCGCAGTTGCAACGCATCATGTCACAGATTCATACCCGGGTTTATCGGACTGATAAGAACATCGCAACGCTAGTCCCGGAGACAGCTCCGCTGCTTGCTGCGTTGGAGGATTTCGAAATATCGCTGCCGGCAATGGCACCGGAAGAAGACGATTTTGTCCATATGCACTGGAACAACGCCATTCGGATGCTCATTCAGCGATTCGTGGGAGTCTTACCGCGGGGGGATCCCCTGATTGAAAAATGCTTGTACGCGTCAGGGCAGATGTGTCAGTGTTTCAAGCGGCTGCGACAGCGCGATTCATCTGGGTACTCCTTTCTCCTAGTTAACTCGCTGTATATGGCTGGGTTGACTATTTGGTGAGCAGTTCCCTTTCTTCCAATACAATAGAACCAGAACTAACGAGATAGCTAGCCTTTGCCTCTTCCGAGCCCCTCAACTGTGGACAGTAGCCGTGTCGAATGATCTGAGAGCCTGTTCTTCTGCGCTGTTCGTTATGGCGGAGAGAAATCCTAGTCTGAAGAAGTACCGAGACGGGCTGGAGATGATCATCAACCGCGTGATGGAATATGTCAATGATGCGGCAAAGGCCGATCCTATGCCAAGTGATTCCCATACCGAGGACGTTATTCCCACACCACATTCTGAGAGTGTGAGCGCACAGACCGATGTGACGACTGGGAACTCTCATTTCTCAGCTAGATGGCTCGACTTTCAGTATCCGTTGCCCCCTATGGGAGGGTTAACCGGACACGATCCATATGGGCAGGGATCTGCGGCAGGAGACACACCCGACATCTGGCATACATTCAGCGACATGTTCCCGGAGATATGGTCAAACGACCTGTTAAGCATGGACATGTCTGATGGGCTAAACTGGTTTACCCCGGAGTAGACAGTAACTAAAAGATACCTAATCCCGACATAGTAATGAAAATAACTACAAATGAGCCGGAGACAGCGTATCTTCAATCCCCAGATCCTCCCTCCTCGACTTACTCTCAGGATCAAAGTAAGGCACCTCACCCACACCAACAGCGCGATTGCCACTTCTAGGCCCAAAACCCTCGTGATCACCAGTGGCCGTATGGAACACGCTGCGATTATCCCAGATGGCTATATCGTCAGTATCTGCATGAGTCCAAGGAGGATCTAACATACCAATGTCATTCGGCTCATTCCACTTGAACCGCACCTGCAGATCATGACCGTAGGTAATCAGATCATGAAAGTATTGCAGCATATTCGCACTCTCCCTCCGATTCAACTCATTGATCTTGCTCGGAAAGGCCCCTATTTCATCAGCACATGTCCTCACACCCACTACACCAACACCATAAACATACCAATCGGGAAGACCGACTTCCATCCCGTAATCGGATTCGTCCTAACAACCTATCCCAACAATCAGCAGCCCCCTCATACCCCAGCGATTCCAGAAAGGGTCCTACCGGATGCACGGCCTCCAACTCATCCCCCACATTAACCGGCGCGCCCCTCTCCCCCTTATAAACTTTAACCCCCATCCTCTTAAACCCCTCCCCAACATGGGTAGCACTCAACCCCTCCAAGAACCCCCTATAGGGCTTACTTATCCGATCATAAACCTCATACCCGGAAGCCCACAACGTATCACCCCCGGTAACAGGCAACTGCGTCAACCTAAGACTGGAGAAATCCGCCGGTGCCTTCTCAAACGCAATATCACTATGCCAGACCGCCGCCATACGGGTATAATCCGAGCCCTTGTAGAGTTTCTTCCGTCCTTCGGAGTTGATCGTGCTGATTTCGGGGTCGGGGTCGCCGAATTCCCGGGAGTCGTTGGTTACGGGGTGGATATGTAGGCCGTGGGTGGCGGGTCGGGTGGTGAGGTGGCCCATTTGGAGGATGAGCTGTTTTTGGAGGTCGTTGGTTAGGTTGTGCTGGGAGCGGAAGAAGACGACGCCTCTTTCTGCTACTGTGGTAGTTGTGAGTACTGGGGTTGGGAGGTAGGTAGGTGGGATGGGATGGGATGGGATGTACCGAGTACGGCAAGGTCACGAATACGCTGCTCAGCATTGGGGGCATTGAGAATGTCGTCGAAAATGTTGCAGCTGTCTTTGGGGAATTCGGTGCCGATGACGGGGGTGACTAGGATGGGGTTGAAGGCGTCAAGGGAGCCGGTGGAGTGCATTCGCTGGGGCATGGTAGTATGTAATTGTGTATCTTTGTAATTATTTGCAATATGATTAGTGGTTTGTAGTATATGTTTGTAAGTGGCAGATATCGATATTTATGTTCAGCCGGGTGTGGTGTATAGATCGGCTTTCGGCGTTAGGAGGGTGCTGGGATCTGGAGATATCGCCGATTGCGTTATGGGTGGGAAGGATGGTTTCACTAGGCTTAGATGGTATCATCAGGGTTAATGAGATTCGTGAATGCACAAGTCTGTTTAGATGGGTATGGTTCGGACAATGGTTGTGTGGTCGGCGACGAATCAAGATAATACCTCCAACCCTGTTGTATCTTGTTTCAGTTTATGCTAAAAGACGGCTTGTATAATTTGCACAGCAGCTGTAGGCTAAGCTCAGAAGTATGCGGGTATTACAAATTACTAACAGTCTGCAATGGACGGATCTCCACAACGCTATGCATATGCATCTGATATCTCAAAGCTCCACAAACGATCATACAGAAGGCTCAAATCGCTGAAGAACAAAACATCCAATATACACAAAGAAGAAGAACAAATAAGATACCAAGAAAAAAAAATCCATCATCCTCATCGATGGCGACTCCGATCGGTAATGTCATGCTGCAATCATGTCGAACATTCTCCCGGGTATCAGACCAAACTCATACACACCCCCAACTATACTCGCACTTAAACCATATTCGCCCGATGCTCATCCGAAGGCGTCCCCGGCGCCGTGCGGTTCATCGGCACACTCAGAGTCTCACTAGCCGCCATGGAGGTAGGCCTCCTCGCCATCTGATCCAGGTTGAGTTGCGAGTTGGAGGCGAACATCATAGAGGCGCGGTCAAACTTGGCCTCGCTCTGGGGCCGGCCATCGGCCAGCGGCACCATGGAGTAATCGGCTCCCGCGTCGGCCTTCTTGGCCAGACGGTTGGTCTTGGCCTTCTCGCGGAAGCAGAGGAAGAAGGTGAGGGCGAGGAAGATAAAGATGAGGATACTGAAGGTCACGATGGCGGCGATCTCGCCACGGTGGTTGTGCTCCTTCTGCGCGGCGGAGACGGTGCTCGTAGCGGAGGTGGTGGTGCTAGTGGTCGTCGAGGTAGTCGTCGTGCTTTGAGTGGTCGAGGTAGCACTGGTGGTGGATTGAGAGGATGAGGATGAAGTGGTGGTGGTGCTGCTGCTGGAGCTGGTGCTCGTGGCAGTGGTTGCAGTCGTCGTCGCACTGGTCGTCGAGGTGTCGGAGGTGGTGGTGGCTTCGGTAGTGCTGGACGAAGTGGATGTAGTGGAGTCCGCAGTGGTGGTGGTATCATCGGTAGTAGTCGCCCTCTTCTGGAAGTTCAAAGAACGGTTATACCGCTTGGGCTTGAGGTATTGATCAACGATGGATGTTGGTTGAGCGACCGGCGCTTCGGTTTGCGGTGACAGCGAAAAAACTCCAGCCGCGGGGTCCGCGTGCGCAAAAGCAGCGGATGATAGGGCGCTGAGCGCCAGCAGATAATGGAGTTGCATGTTGGACTAAGGGAGGGGTCGGATATAGGCAGCAGCCAAGTCGGGTAGAAGTAGTTAGAATGATGAAAGAAGAGGAGGGCTAGGAGGAAGAAGAGGAAATCAGGGAAGAGAAGGGATTGTAGGGCCCATCGGAACAGAACTACCGACAGGCCCTCAAATATGAATGACGAGCGAGATGATGGGCGAGAGAGCCGAAATCTCTGCCAGGCCAATCTTGCTGGCAGTCGTCGTACTCCATAACGTGCCTCAACTAGGGCTGAGGCTTTCGCAGGTTATTTTTATAGCGATTGACTCGGTGATTGGCTTCGGGGATCCGGAGTGGGCCGTCGGCCACTCAGCGGCCACGCGGCTTTGGTCCACCCATTGCTTGTTCGTTTCTTGTCATTAGTTTCTAGCGATGGATTGCGATGGCACCGGCTTTATCTTGTTCATTTCCAGTAGAGGATGAGGTATCCTTTTCAACCCCAGCTGGGATTACTCCCTTCGCGATCACAGGGAGCAAAGAGTCACCAATATCCACAACATGAACCCTCACCACATCCCTTTTTCCACCCTGACTCCACTGCACCACATCGTGAGGAAAAGAATTTAGCCCAAGCACACCAAATCTGGTTCCAACCGAGGCGTATTCCCCGCTAAAAGCTTCGCTCTCCCCAACAGAGGGCTGGGCAAATGCAACGGCCGATCGTCGAACTGGTGAGCGCCTTGGGAATGGACCACCCACGGAAACCCAGCCACGCCGAACAGGCCATCTCGAAGCACAAGAATAGCAGAGTGAAACCTAACTCTGAACAGAGTCGATATCTGCGCCACGCTACTTACGGTAGTCACTCCACGGATTCAACTCCTTCAGGTTTAATGCCGTTGTCGCAATGGACTGAAAAGGTGTGTGATGATGCATTCACGCACCATCTTACGTGGTTTGTCCGTCTCATCTCCACTTACTAGCCCATATTCTGTGTGCGCCAAAGATCGACGCGTTCTGGCAATAAATCAATTCCCGGCTTAACCTTAAGATGATGCTAGTGTTTTTCTACCGCGTTTTCTAGATTCCACGCAATTTTCTCCTTTACCGTCACAGCCTTTATTCCCCGATGGAGCAAAAACTTAGAAAAAACTAAATACTTAGTTAAAATGCTGATTGAATGTGCCCCGCTCACAACGGTAGACGCAATTAGAAGTATTCGCCGATGGGCTTAATGCTGTATTCCAGAATTTATGTGAGCCACGTATGCGCCTGCTCGGACTTGACCTGCAGGGGAGAGGATATATATTATTAGCAGTATTCGACTGAAACTGCATTTCGCAGTTGGAGATTTCGGGGCCACCTGCCAGGACCTCCTTTGCTGTGCTTCCTTTGATTACAGTGATGTACAAAGTATGTTCTCGGTGGTTGATGTCTCCGAACATCTGAGACATATCATATGCGTCCTAATACTTCCGAAAAAAAAGAGAAGTTGCGTGTGGCGCACTCACATCAGCAACTAGCACCGTCCTGGCGACCGGACCACTAATAAATTTGATACTAGTACCGACTTGGGGGCCTGTGCTCTAGCTGCTGGTATGCCGACCGAGGTCGCAATGTTTGCGCCTAGTGTACCGCATCCCGAAGAGTTTGAAACGAAGATGTCGCAGTGGATGGTTGTTTGGAGGCATCAGTGCAGGTTAATTGATCCTGTTGATGGTTTTTCTCCTATTGGATTATCACTGAAATCTTGATCAAACAAAATCCTCCGCGGGTCCAATACTGAACGTAAACCTATCACTAACTATGAATGCGCTGTGATGGCCATGATACTAGAACAGTTTCCGATTGTGATTGATTTCATTAGTTATACTTGTGATCATCACTCATACATTCATTACTCATACAGGCCAACTCCGCTGCCATCAGCTCAACCCCGGCCACGCCGACTCGAACCCCGTGTCGAATCCCAGCGACCAATTCTCATCGAGGAACGGCCACTGCCACATCTCCGCCTCCACATCTGCCCATTCACCACTACCACCGCTACTTCCACTACCACCTGGCGCTGTCAGCTCGGCCACCGACATGCGTCGCACTCCAACTCCCTCCGAAGATACCCCCGGGCGCCGTCGTGAAGCAGGCGCTGTTTCAGGTCGCGAGACACGAATATCGCCGTATTCATCGAGGGTGCCAGCTAGGGTGAGATGCTCCGGACGGGAAACGCCAGTAGGGCCTTGGGCGG